TTTCCTGGCGATCTTAATATTTATTAATAAAATCCTTATTCAGGTTTATCATAATCTGTTTTAAGGGAAAAATTGATTTTAGAATTTTCTTGATATAAATTCCTATTTGTATGAAACTGTCCCATGAATCACACACCCAGTTAATGGCATAGATTATGGTGATGGTTCCATGGACATATATTTAACTCCGAACTCATCTTGCTGTATACATTAAATATGTACAGCTTTTTGCATGTGAGTCATACCTCAATAACATGGTTTAAAAACATCACACACTTGGGTTCAGGTTTTATATAAGATTAGGATGTACCTGTCTAAATCTTTTATTGCTACACTTTGTGATTTTGCAAACACAGACAGGTTCCACAATTGCAAACAAACCCTTTGATGGGAACACAAGCAAGCACTACAGGTTTGAACAACTTTTTAAAACTCTCATAGAAACTTTTTTTTCCCCTTCACCTGTTATTTTTAAACTTTGATATCAGCCTTTTGGGGGGTGGGTGGGAATTTTTCCAGACCAAAGCCTCCTGACTGGCAGGAAAGGTGTAGGGCTCCCACTTTATTTTACCTAACACCCTAAAAATTGGGAGTGGCAATAGGGAGAAAAATTCATAGACAACTGTAAATTAAGGTGCTGCTTTATGTAGAAACAACAGACTTCTCCATGACTAAAGCCTGCATCCCCCTTGGAAAGACCTAATCGATTGCACATCCTGTGTTCCAGTCATCAGACTAGACTATCTCATTAATTTTTACAGTGAGTCTTTTTAGCAGGTGTCTCCTAACATGTCAGTATTTGGCTTAAGAAAGAAGGTGATGAGAAGCTGTCACCACACTGCTTCGTCACATATCATAGAAGCAATGATACCGGCCGTCTCTCCTCAAGGCATTCGTCCCCATCTATTTGAAGAAAGCTAACAAAGGTTATTTATTTCTATCCCACAGATAGTTATTCCTATCCCATAGATAGCTATTGGCCTCATGCATAAACCTGATATAGTGCTTCAGTTTTCTCCTGTCATGACACACATGCAAATTACTGGGGTGCCTGGGGTGAAGGTGCTTGGAGCTAGAAGTGATGAGCTTGACAGAGGAAAGGAGGTGCTGGGGAAATCTCAGGCCCCATGTGGCACCCCTAGGGCTGAGGGGATCAGTATTGTGGAGCTAACATGTAGCTCATTGTTGGCACACTGGTTCGGAAGCTGGGTCCTGCCCATCAGTACTCTGTGTATCAGATCTGTGAAGCAGTCAGGTAACCAACACTAAATTCAACCAAACCTGCTGGGCTGTTTCTTTAGAGCCAGTCAGTTACTTGCTCTGATCATCAAACTACCCGATGTAAAGCATCAGAGTGTGTGTGTGTGTGTGTGTGTGTGTGTGTGTGTGTCTGTCTGTCTGTCTGTCTGTCTGTCTGTCTGTCTGTGTGTTCTGGGTGAATTCTGCTCTCTCTCAGCTCCCACACTCATTCAGCAAGAATTTTTTTTAAAGTGTCAAATTAAGGGAAAGTGCTATGAAGCATAGGAGATGAAACAAGATTCTGCCCTCAAGGAAACCTCTGTTCTGTAGGAGAAATAAGACATTTGTATAAATTATATTTGTTGAATAAATAAAAGTGTAATTGCAACATGGGGTAAAAAGTGACACAGTCCAGAAGAGAGCAATAAATAAACGGTTATGGAAATGAGAAGAGGAGAAAATAGGATAAGTTTCCCTTTGGACAGTTTACCTGTGATCACAGGAGAAGGCGTCACACAGAAAGACCAGTGGTCCCCAAGACAAGCATTTACAGCACTGTGAGGCCGGAGCTGGACTGCTCCTACATCTACCTGTTCATGTCTTAGTGTTTGGACCACGATGATGTGGCTTTGCATAACTTGGCTAAATATTTTCTTGACAGATCTCATGAGGAGAAGGAGCATGCTGAGAAACCGATGAAGCTGCAGAGCCAACGAGGTGGCTGAGTCCTCCTTCAGGATAGAAGTCAGACCGTGAGGACCGAGAGGGTGACTGAATACAATGAGGATGCAGTACACTTGGGAAATAGTGTGAGTCGGTCATGGCTGGAAATGCGCAGACCGGCCCCAGACACAAACAACCGTAGTGTGATTTCATTGAGACTCTTGATCTGAATGAGTAGATTCAGAAATCCATCCAACAATTGAGTGACTACCTCACCACCTTGTGCAAGATGAGGGCCCGTGGACCTCACCGCACAGTATCTCTTTGACAAGCACACCCCAGGAGGCAGTGATGACAGAGCTAAGCCTTAGGCAGGCTTCCCCATGGCCACAGGGGTGTCTTCCCTGGTCCCCAAAGCAATGCATGCATGCATGTTGGGGTTACTTTTATGTTTTCTGGAAGCTGTACCAACACATCCACTTACATTATTTCATTTATATCATTCCTCCAAAGAAAGTAATTCAGTACCCACCCCCAACAAAACAAAACAAAACAAAACTGTGAGTGCTACCTGCCATCAAAGAAGAAGAACTTCCCCCGTCCATTTTTTTCTCCGTGAACAAAGTTCCCCTCAAATCTGTCCGTGGAGGAGTAGGTGACTGTACAGAACCCGTGCGGTAATCCATCGTCATCCAGGTGCCCTGGAGAAAGGGAACCACAAAGGAAACCTTAACATCTTCAATGCTCCCCCACTGACACATCCCTGCTCCCTCGGTGCTGCCAGCAAGTCCCCTGAGCAACCGAAGGGTCCCCTTCCCTGCCAGACGGGAGAGTGAACGCAAAGACTTCCCATTTTGCCTGCGTTGCAGTATCAACCTGACTGTTCTGTACACTTTGTGAACCGACGGGTCCACAATGGAGGGACCCAGACACGTTTCAGAACATGAACCGAACATATCTTGCATTTTACTGGGGACTGAGAGTTCTTATCAATAATAACATCTGTAGTGCATGTTTCAATTTACCAAGTACTTCCCCACATGGTACTTCTCATATTTGAAATTAAGGCTCCCAAACTCATGCTTAACAGGAATGTAGTTCAAATAGTATCACTTTATAGCCTATTGCCAGATAGAGTGTCTTTGCAATAAGTCATCTAATTCTAGAACTATTACACAGTATGATTTTAGGTATCATTATATAGTATGATGTGGAGGACTACCAGCCAGGTGACTTCTGAAAACCCCACTGCTATTTATTACATTCAAACAAGGGGCTTGCTTAGCCATGTCTCTAAAACTGCCCTAATATTTATAAAGCTCATTGTGCTAACACATGAACTCAGAGTCCTTCTAAGCTTGAACTTAAGCTTAATCCTGAGCTTACTGCTTTACTTTACAAAAAGCTCCCACATTTGAATGTTTAGTAATAACCTTGTCATATACCTCCTCCACTGTGTTCAGAGGGCTCGTGCTTTAAATGCAGCTAGAAGCATCCACCTGGCCATTTAAGCAGTGATTTTGAACATCAGCAGCAGTTATTATACTGTGCTCTTTAAATTGCTGGTTCTGCCTGGGTCACAGATTGATATATTTGAACACTTATGTCTACAGTCAATGTTTAGGGTTTTTAAAAATTATCTGTGTATTTCCCAAAACCCAGCAGTCACCTCATTGATGTCTCCCCAACCATTCTGGTGAGCTGATTTTTGCAGAGGTGGGTGAAACTGAAGGCAGTAGTTAATCTACTGGCTTTTTCCTAGGTTAATGACCTGGGTCATGGATGAAAACACTGTGTGCAATGCAGGGACATTAAACACTTCAATGTGGCTTCCAGATGGCTCACAGACATGAAAGAGAGCACAAACCAGATCACCACCAGGAACGCTTTAGTGTCCTAAAATGATTTCTTCTAAAGTGATAAAAGAATATCATTCCTTGGAAGAGATGGTAAATAAACACTCTTACAGAGAACAAACAAGCTCTTTAATTTTTATTGTATTTATTACATAAGCATAAAACAACAACGAACTGATACACTGTTTTATTGCTACATCTGACTCTGTGTAGAATGTTAACTAGAACATGTTGCAATAAAACACAGGTACTTAAATACATTGCAATTGATAGACTTCCTTTCCTCTTAACACAATTTTTTTTCTACCAAGGGCCAGGAAATTAATGGTCAGGAGGGAAATGGGCCATAATTGCTTTTTTCTCGCTCAATAACAAATTGTATGTGACATAATTCAATGACACTTTAGTCATATGAAATAATTTGGACCATTATTTTCTAAATATCTACTGATGACATCGCTCTCACTGAAATAAATTAAATCCTTTTTTCTTCTCATTAAAAAAAAACCCACTCAATATATAGCTAAAAGCTTTCTTTCATGGAATGTTTTTGGGATCAAATTAGATTTAGCTTTTAACATTCCTATGAATTTAGCATTTTACTTTTGATTTAAGTATAAATATCATAATAATAATTTTAGGCTCATATTGAAGTATTTAGTAATTTGTTGAAAATGCTTCCCCCATAGAAAACAGTTCACATATTTCAGACTTTCAAAAGTTAATGTTTGATAAAATTGGCTATTCTACTTCAGATCAAGAGAAATATTATGATAACCATGAACACTAAGGGGGAAAAAAACCCACTGTAAATTCATATCCACCTTCCCTCAGTCACAATAGTCCTATTTCTGAATAAAACACTGCAGGTGCACTCTCAGCAATGGAATTTAGACAGTAGAGAAAATTGAAAGTGTCATATAACACGCTAAAAGCACTTGAGGGACAGTACTGTTCCCAAGTGAGATGAAAGCAGAAATATCAAGCTCGCTTCATGAAGGATTCTTGTTTCAACGCCTCTTTCAAAAGGCTGGTGAAAAGGGGTCCCATTATCTTAGTCTCCAGGGAGAGAGAGGAACGGAGAAGAGCTGCCGAACGATGGAACGATGGCCGTTTCTTCAGTAAACACCGATGTGTGATGCTCCCCTGCCATTCTAAAGTGTCAGGTTGCTTGTTGTGGGAAAGTTCTGAGCTCCCTCTGTCAGGCCACCGCAGCACCTCTTCTTGGCCTACTTGTTGTTTTCTTCCAAAAGGAGGACAATGTGATCGATTAACAGAATGTGATCAATGCACTGGAACTAGACATTAAGGGTCCTCATCATTCAAGACTTCCATCCTGAGGGTTTAATAGCCAAGCTTCGTTGTCCTAAGCAGAACTTTGTGTATAAAACAGCAGCACAACCCAAGCGATAAGAACAACAAAGAGACTTCCGAAAGAAAGAGAGGCAGGGAACAGCAGAGACTGGGTGGCTATGCCCGCACATCTCTCACCATTAGTGCTAGAAGAGCTTCTGGTCCATCTCTTGTTGAAATGCCATCAGGACAATAGATCGGGTCGTATTTGTCTTGTCAGCATTAGTCAGTTTAAGGGAGAGGAATACTAATATACAGAGAAGAAAAACGCTTGTGTGCCTACTATGCACCCGGCACTGGGTGATGTGCTTTCCTTTTACCTAAATTAACCTCACAACAGTCTCCCGAGTGCCAGTCTCATAGGGGAGGAAGCCAAGGCTGCATGACTTGCCCAGGGAGCTGCTTACTGGCTCTGAACATGCTGCCGAATCCTGCAAGCCCCTTCCCCAGGTCTGCCCATCCTCCTCCTCTCTAGGTAAGGGCAAACTCGCAGAACTCCTTTTCCCCCTGCGGATGGTGGAAGCAGGTGCCTCTAAACAGGAGGGGTCTGCCCAGGTCCCAGGCAGAAAAGTGGAAGAGCCTTTGTTTGTAGTGAAGACGGTTCTCATAGAACCATCAGCAGTTTCAACAGCATCTCCTGGTTGTGAATTCCTACCCCTTCCAAGTGTTACTGAACTCAAATTGAAACACAAGTCTTCCTTGCTCTGAGTGAGGTCAGTTTGTAAAATGCGTCAAATCAGCCAACAGTCATCCAGGCGGAGGTTGCACACTGAGCCAAATAACGGGGAAAATTCACTGGAATGACTGCTCAATGCTGATAATGCTGTCTGTCCCAGGTTATGTGTTAACTGTCTGTCTGCAGCATGATTTTAAATATTTATAGACATCAGAGAAAGGGAACAAAAATGTAACGGTCTCACAAATCTCCTGTTTCACTGTGTTCTGAAGACCACCCTCTACTGAATGGGCAGAAAGTGAAATTTTCCCCTTCGCAGTACCTGAGTTCTTTCCTTAACCAGATGAGAGCCAGGCCTGTATACTGCACAGTGATGGTTCCACCTGGGCACGGCCTGTTCCCTCTGGATCACACACCCAGCTGCTTACTGCCTCAGGCTTACTCACAGGAGAGTTGAGAGTGGGGAATGTGTGTGTGTGTGTGTTCCTCAGAACAAGAGACTCTTACATGCATTGTTGGTTTTGTAGACCTGAACTGCTTTAAAAAAGTAATAATAATAAAAAGGCAAGCTTATTCTATGTGGTCAAAGAGCATGCCCTCATGATGATGCATTGATACTGGTTGTTAAAAACATAATTTGATTTTTGAGAGTAATTCGTTACAGGTGCTCAATTAATAGCTGTGAGGGTCATAGTGTTAAGGTGTGACCCTGGAGAGGGTGCTGCCAGCACACGCAGTGCGCATTTTTCCTAGGCACAGAGCATGAGCAGTCTTCATAGAGACAGGCAGGATAGGTATTAGGGAGACAGTTAAAATATTCTCGATATTTTGAGGGGCTGAGGGCAGGAACGCTGAGATTCTTGTTTTCATTTTGGCTCTCTAGTTCTGGGGATTCTGTTATTTCCCCCTTTTGAGCATTCCTCCTCAGTGTCTGCTGTACGTTTCCAGGCCTTTCGGTTTTTTCCTGTCCTCATAAGGTGCACATCGGGACCATTGCAAAGAGCCTTCCAGGTGATGGTCTCATCTGCTCACCACTGTCTGTTCATCTTCCCAGAGCAGGGGTCTGAAACTGTCATTCCCAGCTCTAAAGGGCCCCTACGGCTTCCTGTGGCTTCCAGTACAGGCCAAGCCGTTGGCCTGTGACACAGCCACCTTTTCCCTGTCTTACTCTCCACTTTTCTCCTCCTGGGCCCTCTGCTAGAGCAGAACCAAACGATTGGTCTCTGGGCGTGCCTGCGTAATTCCATACCTCTACGTCTTGACTCACAAAGTTCCCCGTCAACTGGACTCAACTCCCTACCACCTCTCCTGGGAACTCTTTCCCCATCTCCTTCCTCAAGTCAGAAGTAATTTTTACTTTTTCTCAGCCCCCGTAATTCATCTGTTTAGATATGATATATTAATTTGAAATTACATTAGGAACCACACTGTAGTCATCTATCTGTGGGTAGACAAAGACATAGATATAGTAATAAATATTTCTGTTTCCAAAGCTAAACATCGCTTCCCACTGAACCAGTGAGACTCAAAGAATTTTTAAAAATCTACCGCTGGAGTTCAGGTGGCGGTCTCAGGCCTCTGAGGCCCAGGGCTGGTTGCCATCCCAGAGGATCTCAGCCGACCTGCAGACCTGCACAGACACGCCCTGCACCACCAGCTCCTCGGCATTGATCCCTCAGCACTTCACCAGAGCTAGATCCACCCTGACAGAGAACCCAAAAGTGCATGATGTGACAAAAGACATTTTAGCTCAAGTCCTGAAGAGACCAATTTTTTTCCCCAGAGTAAATTTCTTAGGAGGAAGAAAAGGGATGTCTGCTGTAGAGGCTGTGAGTTAAATTCTCTGTCCCCAAATATACATTTTTCTGAAAGGCACTGAACTCCATCAGAACCAACCTCTAGAGAGCTAACCAGTGATAAAGAGTGATACTGACATAATATTTAACTGTTGCTTCCAGGCTCGGCTACCAAGTATTTCATATATTTGACGATTCATTAAAAGTTAAAAATATGAAAAATGTAGGGAGATTGTTGGGTACAGCGGGGTGGATTTCTGGAGGTCCAAGCCTGTCTCCCGCCTCACTGAGTGTCCTTGGATTGTTCTTAACTTCTCTATGCCTCAGTTTCCTCCTTTGTAAAATTAGGATAATAGTAGTACCCAACTCATAAGACTGAATGTAATATGTGTGTGTGAAACATTCACAGACTCTGAATAAAGTAAGAACTAAATAATTATAATAGCAATAGTAATAGTAATAATAATAATAATAATAATAATAATAATAATAGCTAAGTCGATGAAACTACTGAGAACCGAGGCTTTGGTTATGGAGAGAGACAGGTAGGTTAGTTGGTCCTTAAGCACAGAGATACTCAGGCTAGCCTTACACCAGTCCCCATGCATGTGTCACATGTTAAGTAAAGACTATTACAGACAGCACTAAAAAGGCCAAGAATAGCTGAAGAAAAGCCCACTGGTGCAGTTTACCGTGTGTATACTAACATACTCTAGACGCTGTGCGAGTTTGAGCCTTACATGCTTCTAAGGACTTTTAAAGATGTATTACTCCAATTGTTTACTCTTAGGTACAGCTGAATGGTCACGTGTCCTGGATTGCCCCAAATGCTCAAGGCTTAACCAGTTGTCCCAGCATAAGTATATACATACAAAAAGTTTCAGGTGTACAACTTTATAATTTATCTGTATATACTACAAAGTGATCACCCCCAAAAGTCCTGCTATTATCCGTCACCATACAATTGCCTTCCTTCACCCCTTTCACCCCCCCTCCCCAACCCCCTTTCCCTCTGGTAACCACTGATCTGTTCTCTGTATCTGTGAGTTTGTTTTTGTTTTACCAGCATAAGTATCAATAGTGATCCCTCTCATTCTCAGGCATGTTCTGATTTTGGACAATAGAGTATACGGTCACCCTATGTAACAGAACCTTCCTTGTTTATATAAAGAACGGTCTCTGTTTGTGTCAATGGGACAAGCTCAAAAACAACACTGAAATACATTTCTAAAGTTGCTTATTCGCATTCTGCAAGGAGCTTGAGGACCATGGACAACTGGGCCTTCTATTTCTAGACAGCTTCAAAGAGGAAAGTAGTTTAACCTGGGGAGCACTGCTCATGCTCAAGGGTTTGCATTAAAATTTTACAAGCTCAAGTAGAAGTACACTTTGAAGAATGAGAGCAAGCCCTGACAACTTGAGAAGAGCATTTTTTCATTTATCTTTCACAACATGAAGGCACAAGAAGTCAATAACTTAAATTGTAAGAAGGCTTCCAATGGATGGACTCCATCAATGTCTTTGGGCCCCAGTAAGCCCCAACACTGGCTTTACATATCAGAGAGTAAATAGTTCTGTGAATTCACAACATTGTGAAATGAAAACAACAACAACAAACACTCTTTGACGATGGATAAAGAAATAAGTGACATAATTAATAGTGACATAATGGATACCTTTTAGAGAATTCAGAAATATTATTCTACTTAATCTCATCCTAAGACCCCTGGAGCACTGCAAAAGAGTCAATTATATTTTATGAAAACATAAAAATGGATTTCTTTTCCCAATGTAGCCATAATTACGTATCTTTATGCATTTGTACGGTGTTTGCTACTTTGTTTCTCTTTACCATGTATGAGAAATTGTTTATACAAATGAGGTAGAAACCAGATTCAACCAAAAGCTAAAAATTGTTTACTTAGATGCTTCAAGTATTCTGGAATAATACCACACAATATTGCAAAACATCACGACGTACTGTCTGGGTAGAATCAAACAAATAAGCTAAAGAGTATCTTCCAGTATTCACTGTTACAAAATCATAACATCTCATGATACAAACAACGAGATTGTATAACGTCCCCACCTCGCTTTTTAGAACTAGCAAAAAAAGAGGTGGAGAAACTCAGCAAAACAAAGTGCGAGAAAACTCGGGGGAGGGGCGCTAGAAGAGAAGGGGCGGAGAAACACGACACCAAGGCGGTGATATCACCCACAGCCAACTGCACGGAATTCAGAAAGTTAAGTGTCACCCAGCAATTTCGGTCCGGGCTTGCGGCGCGCCTGCACAGCGTGGCGGCGGCGGCACCCGGCTCGGAAGCAGGAAGGGGGAGGGGGCGGTGAGACTGAGTTCGCTCGGGGACAGCCAAGGGGAGGGCCACCCGCTCTCTGTCGGCGCGCGTTCAAGCCCCGGGTCGGGAGCCTCGTCCCTTGCTCTGCAATGATTTCATCTTTTCGGAGGAGCGGCCGCTCGGGCCGCGGCTGCCACGTGCCAGGTTCGGCACCGAGCGCTGCGCGGGGGGGACCCACCCGGACGCAGCCGTGGTCACCACGGTTTGCAGCGGCAAGCCGAAGGAAAGGGCTGGCGGCAGGAGAGGGGATCGGGGTTGCCAGAACCTGGCGGGGGCATTGCTCCGCGGAGACCACGGTTCCCAAAGCACTGTCCTCCTGCGCACCCCCACCCTCCATCCCTGAAAGGCGGAAGAGTGCAGGGCAGGTTTCGAAACTCCTAGGATGGGATGCAGGCTGTGGCCGGCGGGATGGAGCAGCCGTGCCCTCCTGGGGGCCCTGGCCCGGCGGAGCCCCGTGTCCGGCCTGCGCCCCGCCGCGCAGTGCGCGCTCCCGGCTGCGTGGCGGTGGCTGTCCAGCCCCTGCCGGAGCCGGGCCACCCGTGTAGGGGACAGTGGCGGCCGCGGGGCCCGGCGCAGCTCCGGTCGCAGCCCGCCACTCCTTCGCGTTCCGAGCCCTCAGCGCCTCCTCCCCCGGACCCAGAGAAATGTGTGTACCTTCCACCGCCTCCTCCACCATCTCGTCGTCGCTATCCATGGCGGCTGGGGACCCTGCCCAGCTCGGGGCTGCGCGGCTGCCTCCCGTCCCTCCGGGTGCTCCGGAGGCTGGGCGAGAGCTGGGGCTGAACCCTGCGAGTTTGGAGGAGGAGGAGGAGGAAGAGGAGGAGCAGTCGGGGCTGGCTCGCACTGCCTCCCCCTACAGCCTTTTCAATTCTTTGGCCTTCAGCTGCTGCTGCCGCAGCCGTCCCTCCTCCCTTCGCCTACTTGCCCCTTTCCTCCGAGGCTCCGGGGTGCCGCCGCGGCCGCCGCCGCCGCAACTTTCTCCTGTAATACCCCCTCTTTGTTAGCAAGCAGCTGATCCGCTGACATCACCCGGAGCCGGTGCGCTGCCTCCCTCACTGATTGACAGTTCCCTGTCCCTTCCCAGAAGTAAGGCTCCTTAAAACGAAAGGCGCTCCGGGTCCGCGTTGCCTCTGCGCCCCAGCCAACCAGCCCCTGGGCCCGTCAGGGTCTCTGCTTGGCTTCTTGGCGGCCCTGTGAGCTCCGAGCGCACCATGCGGTCCTGGGCATCACGGGCATCTCGCCGGCACTTGGTACCGCCGGGTACCCACCCTTGGGGGGCTCTGCACGCCTGACCTCCAGCTGTGCCGGGGCAACTTGGAAGTCTGTCGTGCGGTGCCCACCAGCCCCCTCCCACCCCCAACTCGGGACAACCTCCAAAGGACAAGGGACGCTAAGGCAGCGTTTCTGACGCTCCTGCGCCTCGACTTCCTCTCGCCCACGTCCCCACTTCACCCCGTTTGCCACCCGGAGCTGCACGAGTGCGGCACGCACGGGAGCGCAGGTGTCCCCATGTCGCCGCATCACGTACGCAAGCATGTTTCCCAGACTCCAGGGGGGTGATATCCAGTCCAGATTCCGCGGGATTGCAGCTCCCACCCCAGCGCACCGCGTCCCCGCCCTCCTCCGGACCGCCAGCCCGGCGTCTCGGTGGTTCAGAAATTCAGCAAGTCCAAACGGCAGCGGACTCTTTATCAGGCAGGAAATTGGCTGCAGGGAAGGCCCGCAGGTTCCTCTTCGCCGTGTGGTCATGGAAAAGGAGCCACCGAGTGGAGCTGACGAGGAAGGACCCTCCGTCTGGCGCGCCTCCTTCTCGCACCTCCCGCCCTGTTCGTGTGATGTCCCCAGCTGTCACCCTGTTTCTCCAAGTGCCAACTACTCCATAGATTCGGGCTTTTCAAGTGGAAAATATCACGGGGCACCCGGTTCCCGGCCCAGACACTTAGTGTCATTGTGGCGCTGCCTCTTACAGGTGGCATAAAGGATGGCTGTAAATAGCTGGTTAAATGGATGCAAATGTACACAGTGTACCGTGGAATTACCGGGTGCCGCTCTGGACATCTGCCAAGAACAGCTACTGCACGAGGGAGGGGGCAGGAGGGAGCAAAGAAAGTTGTTTGGTTTTGTTTTCTGAACAACAAATGAGGCTTTAAAGACTTCAAAGAACTTCCGGCACCAGGGAGACCACGCCTTGCTTTTGGCTCTGTGTTTAAATGCCAGGTATCTTTTACCCAGTGTTACGAGTTTCTTGTGAAATTCAGTTTTCCTCTGTGAAGAAAACAACAGTGTTAGGGACCTTTGTCCCATACACCGCCAGGAATTTCAATCCCTTTTGAGTGTTTTAGAAAGACAGGGAAGGGCGGTGGATTATGAGTTAGGGGACTGGTGCTGCCAGCCTGAGTTCCTCCCCCCAAGAGATAAGAGGCTTAGGCTACACTGGGATAAGGTCCCTCTGGCTTGGGCTGGACCACTGGGAGGGCTTCCAGCTTAGTCTACGCCTCTCTGAACTCTTCTGGCTTAAGTTGAACCCCCTTAAAGTCCTCCAGTGCAGATACCTGGGCTCCAAAGCTACACAGAGAAGGTCTTTCCCGCAGTGGAAGATAGATGCAAGAGCCTCTCAGGTCACACTATTTTCACACATGAACCACAGAAACGGGATTTTATTTTTCATTGGGGGGTGGGAGGGTGAGGAAAGCCATCATGTACTGAACTTGGTCACACACTGGTTTTGAGTTATATGACATTTTTAAAATTTTCCTTTTTTAAACATCTCCTCCCTTATATATTACACTGATATACAAAAACACATCAAATACACAACTTCCCCATTTTCAAGTTTATTTTCAGGGGCAAAAAAGAAAATTTTTTTGAAAGCTAACAGGAAGCAAAAATAATTTATTCCTTTACCAAAAGAAGGCTGAGGGAAGGGAAATGTAGGTTGGAAGAAATCTCCACTCAAAACACACAGGTGAGCCACAGATACACAAGTTCATGGTGGGTGGGTATGTGGGGCTGGGGGCAGGAATCATGTTATAAGTGTCCTGCCCCTATCTCTGGGTTCAAAAAAGATGTCTAGCCATCCCCTTGGTTTCCCAGCCTGTACTGCACATCCAAACTGTCAAGTGCTCCCTTTCTGCCTGCTGCCTTGAGAATACCCTGAAGCAGGCCTCTGGACCTGTAAGAGGTGGGGAACAGAAGCCGCCAGCGTCTTCCTGCCAGGACCGGCAGTGATGGGAGTGAAAGCTCCCCGAGAACCTTCATCAGATTTGCACATGAGGCAGGCAGCAGCAAAGACACAGTCCAGCTCTCCTTCAGCCACCATTCGTTCCTGCTGGCTCTGGGCGCCAAATTTAGGCAAAATGTTTTTATAACTTCCTTAAGATACATTTGCACTTTTGCAAATCATTTTGGGTATGTTTTCAATCTCCTTCTCTAGACTGACTGGGTCTTATTTACAGCCCCACAGCCCAACACAGTGCCTGTTGCAGAATGAGGGTTTAGCACTGTCAGTGGTGATTTTGCAGAGAGGAATATCCTGTTTTACATAAACAGTGCTAAGTCTGTCTCACAGACGGGATCCTCTGCCTGTGTGCTGGCAATGCGCTTCGTTTCAGCTCAAGCCGGAAGAGTTTTTGAGTTGTTCTACTTTCTCACGTCTACTGGCCCCAAATCTGCTTCCATCACATTCTTCCCCACAGTTTTCTTCATTGAGAGCTCATTTCATAAACCCTCTTTCCACTTGGCTTCCCGCCAATCTCCCCTGTCCTCCTCTGTCCCTACCAACGTGGTCATGGGCTAGAAAATCAATAAAGCTCTTAATCACAGTGGGCAGCTCCAGCAGCTGCGTGGCTCAGAGCCTAACGCAGCCGATCAATGCACCAGAACCAGCCCTCGCTGGGACCCCAGGGACCGCACAGGACCCGGCGTGGGCCCTGCTTCCATGCTCACGCCAAGCGGTGGCTTTTTCTAAGCTGTCTGGCTTGCTTCCTTTGCACCCAAGGACATATCCCTCCTCTCCACCCTCAGCTTGGGAAACATAAGTCCCTCTTCCCCTGCAGCAAGCAGTCAAAATACTGAGTTCTTTTATTCATTTTCACCACCCATGTCTTTCCCCAGAGAAGTCTGGGGCTTACTTATAAGATGATATAACTTTTGCAGGAGATATATTTGTATAGGTATCTTGTATTTTATACACCTTCCTATATTTAGGGGAAACAATCCTGTCAATTCACTACTATGCGTACTTGCAAATTGGGGAAAACCTAATGGATGTGGAACTGTGCAGAGCTCACTACTGCCGGCTGTCCCTGGCCCCTCATCCTGCCCTGATGGTGGGGGCTGCAGGGGCTCCGGCAGTCTTCCTGGCCCCCATGCTCCTGGAAGGCAAGAACCTCTCCAGGTGTCCTGTGGATCTATGGCTGGTGTCTCAGTTCTGCTTTGATTGTTTACACTGCTGGCAGGAAGACAAGGACAGAATGAGTGAAAGAACTCTTAAAATAATCATCAGAGCTCATGCCTTAACAAGATTCCCCCCCCCCCACCAAATTCGCCAATTTGATTGAGTTTTCACCCTATTTGTTTTGATTCCTCCAAGAACATGCAGCTGGTCAATGAAGCTCTCTGGACCTTAGTTTTTTCACCTGGAAGTGAGGAAGGAGGTTGGACTCAAACCGTCTCTGTCCACCTTTCCTGGAGAAAAGCCAAATAGAGCATGGAGAGCCCCAGGGACATGCACAGAAAAACAAAACGGGAAGCCACCATATGCAAGTCTCAACTTAATGGCACTGAGACTGCGCGCGAGTTTATCTCACTTTATCTCACTCTAGGAAGAGAGGCATGGGCCTTTCAGGAGAGCCACCACGGTCCTTAGATTCTGAAGCACTGAGTCACAAATCAAGCGGCTAACTCTGTTGGTGACAACGCAGAAGCAGGAGGAGGGGCAGGGAAAGGAGCAGTGAGGAGAAGGGCGTGTGTGTGTGTGTGTGTGTGTGTGTGTGTGTGTGTGTGTGTGTGTGTGTGTGTGTGTGAGATGTGGATGAAAGAGGCATTTACAGCGTGTGGAGCACACAAAAGCAACGGGAACGTCAGGGGCACCAAAGAAAGGTCCGGAGCAAAGGAAGAGGTGGAGAAAATACATTCTGCTGGAAATAGACATGACTGCAGCCGTGAGGAGGACTCAGGAATTCAGGGTGACCTGATTTGATTACAGCAACAGGAAGTGCAGGAGAGAGAGAGGGCAGAATAGCCTGACCCGAGGAAGTGAATTAAATAATAGAGACGACATCCTAGTTGCCATGGCATTAAAATACCTCATGCCACATTAAGCTTCTTTTTTCTCTGTTGTTGACTCTTGTTCTTGCAACATGTTAATGTCATTACAGTCTAACCAATATACTAAATTTAGACTTGTTGGGGCATGGAGGAAGGGAAGACGCAGCCCAGACTGCCCTGTTTGGGTCCACTTCACACAAATGTTCTCCCTCCACGATATGCCTGGTTCTTTTGGTCGTTGCATGATGGAATATGAGAAGCCTTGACAGGCTGGGGTCTGGTGAAGCTGCTGAGTGATGCAATTTGAGAAAAAAAAAATTGGAAACGATTTTTAAAGAGGCAACTGCTTTAGAAATTCAGAAAAATCCATAGGATGCAGAAATTTGAAAAATACAACTATCATCAAGACCAAATGTGTTTATTTTTAACTTAAGTATTAATTTAATTTTTTTGCTTTTCAAAAAATTATTTTACTAAGATTGTTGGGTCCTGCAGTCTGTCATATGCAAATGCTAACATTGCAGAGAGTGGGTACACTGTGTATTCTTTTGACATTACTATACGCAGAATGAATGGAAGGGTATTTCCAGCTGACTTACCACAAATGTCACAACATTCATCAAGGCCCAGATCCTGACCTTCCTCAAGTGGACTCACATTAACCAGACCCCAGAGACTGAATGAAGTACATACCTGAATTATGACCGACAGACCAGAATATTCATGTTGTCATGGCAAGCACAGTTTCCCTTTGTAGATAAATGTACTCAAGAAGACAAATTCCATCCAGACGTTTACTTAGTTATCCTGGAGTTAGAATAAATGAAATTAGTTGTGTGGCCCACAAGAGATACCCCTGACACAGTGTCCTGAAAGAATGAGGCTGCCCAGCTACCCCACCCATCCCTGCTTAGGTCTGTTTGAATGTAGAATGTCCTTTTAGGTCGTTTAAGCTCCTATTGATCCTTCTTGCTGAGTCCATAGATCAATTCCTGGGAAAAGATGCTGTGGCCAACCTCTTGGAATATCTTTCATCCAAATTTAACTAGCTCAGTTCAAATGCTCCCGTGCTCACGACAGGAACAGAAAAAAGCAACCTGGTGGCAAAGCCTTGCACTGTCTCCTTGGAGAACAATGCTAGCTGAGCAGTTCTGCTGTGGGGCAGGTCATCTGTAAGCCCCAAGCATCTCTTCCCAGCCTGGCATCGGGACATGCCGCAAGCCTAGGCTGAGC